GACGCGAACTGATGTTGAAGGTTATACCATTCGTGATGTCAACATTGGCAGTGCTCTTGTTGTTCCCCCTGACCAGACTGTCGAGACGAGACTTCAGCTTACGCCTTGGAGATCTGGGCCGAATGTATCGTGGTCGCATTGGACTGAGTTTACGGTTTCGAGTCGCAATGAGAGTGGTTCTTGGACGACCAACTGTACTGGTCTTGTCAGCACGTCTTATAAGCATGATACCAACAGCACGTTCTTGGATGAGGAGGCTGCCGCCAACGCTCTTCTGAACCAAGAGTACAAGGACATCTCCGAGTCTGACCTTCCCGGCGTTGACGCAACCGTCTTCTACACCAAGCTCGACGAGTCGGGTTTCAGCCTCGGCCCAGCATTCCGCGGTGTCAAGGAACTCAATCTCTTTGATCACAAGGCTCACTTCTCTATGGAAGTCACCGACACGAAGGACTTCTACCCCAAGAAGTGGGAGCCCGCTCACCTGATCCATCCCGCCGTTCTCGATGTCTTTGTCCATCTCTTGATCTCCAGCACCGGTGACGCCGCCGAGATCAAGGCACGAGTCCCCGTCTCGACTGCTTCTCTTTACATCTCTGCGGACTTTGACTCGACTGGCGGTACCAAGTATCATGGTTTCAGTACTTCCAAGAAACATGGTGCGACCAACATGCTGAGCGATGTCATTGCATTTGCTGAGGGTGGATCCAAGCCTTTGATTGCGCTCAAGGGATGCAAAACTGTGCCTTTGAGGGGTGCCTCTGATTCTTCTTCGGGTGATGGCCAGTCGCTTGGACATGTTCCTGTTGTTCCCAAGAAAGTGGTCGATGTCGAGATCTCTGATGCTGCGACCCTTGGACAGTTGCTCACAGGTACCGACTTGGCCTCTAAGCTGGGCAGCTACCTGTCTCTCCTCGGCCAGAAGCGACCTGGACTGAGCGTCCTTGAGTACAGCTCGTCTACTTCAAGCACTCTGCTCAAGGCTCTCACTGCGCAGGCTGAGGATCTCCAAGGTAGTCTCTCCTCTGTTGCTCTTACCACTCCCCTAGACGGACCTGCCGATGAGTTGATTTCTGTCCCTGAGACTTGGAAGAACAAGGTTCAGCAGGAGAAGCTTGACCTCGCTCAGGATCCCAGCACTCAGGGCTTCGAGGACGTGGCACTCGATGTCATCATCCTCGAAGTTGAAGACCAGCAAGGCGATATCTCACTCGTCTTAAAGAACGCCAAGAAGGTCCTCAAACCCTCTGGTATTCTTCTGATCGCCAATCACACTGCCGCCATCTCTACTGACCTTCTCACCTCTACCGGTTTCACCTCGACTACCGTTTCAGACCTCACCATCGCGCGCCACAAGCCCGAGACAGAACCCCCCGTCCGCCGAGTCCTCATCGTCACTCCATCTACCACGTCCCCCGGTCTCGGCCAACTCATTGCACAGGCTGAGAGTGACTTGACCTCTCAGGGTTACGAGGTCGCCAAGACTGACTTTGGCAGCATCCCCGAGCAGGCCACTCCATTCTTGACCCTGTCCGCCCTCGATATAGATGCTCCTTTCCTAGAGGGCTTTCATCACGAGACGTTTGCCAAGCTTCGCTCGCTCTTCCTTGCTTCGCAAGGTACTCTCTGGCTGACTCTCGATACTGCCTCTCGAGGCCTCGTCAACGGTCTTGGACGGACCATTCGTGCCGAACACCCTGACATCTCCTTCACTACCCTTGGTCTTGATGCATCCGCTGCCCTTGATTCCGCCTCTAACACCAAGACCATCTTATCTATCATCGATAACATCTCTCGCAAGACCTTCGGTGAGACCTCAGACTCCGAGTATGTCATCCGTGATAACCAAGTCCTCGTCGAGCGCCTCATTCCCAACCCTGACCTCAAAGCCCTCCTCGACTCCTCCAAAACTGGAAACAAGCTCTCGGCCGTCAAGATTCCTCTCAAGCAAGTCTCCAAGCCTCTGCAGCTCTCGATCCGCGATCCCGGTCTCCTCGACACTCTCGAGTACCTCTCAGTGCCTGATCTCCCTGAACCTCTTGGTGATAACCAGATCGAGATCGAGGTTGGTTCTGTGGGACTGAACTTCCGAGATGTCATGGTTGCAATGGGTCAGATGGAGGATAACACCCTCGGTATTGAGTGTGCAGGTGTTGTCGTCAAGGTTGGCGCTGGTGTGCAGAAGTTCAAGGTTGGTGATCGTGTCTTTGGTATGCATGCAGGTTGTTTCCAGACTCGTGTTCGCGTCGATCCTCGTACTTTTCAGCGGACACCTGATCATCTGGGCGATGAAGAAGCAGCTTCTTTAATGTGTACCTCTGCTACGGTCGTCCACTCCCTCATTGATGTCGCGCGTCTTCAGCGCGGTGAGTCAGTCTTGATTCACTCTGCGGCGGGTGGTGTTGGTCAGACTGCCATTCGTCTCGCCAAGTACCTCGGCGCTGAGATCTTTGCTACTGTGTCTTCTGAGAAGAAGAAGCGCCTTTTGGTCGAAGAGTACGGTATTAAGGAGTCTCACATCTTTAATAGCCGTGACTACTCTTTCGCTGATGGTATCCTCCGTCTCACGAACCAACGAGGTGTCGATGTAGTCATCAACTCTCTTGCTGGTGAAGCCCTTCGCCGAACATGGCTTTGCGTTGCACCCTTCGGTCGTTTCATTGAGCTTGGAAAGCGAGATATCTACGACAACAGTGGCTTGGACATGCGTCCGTTCCTCGATAACATCACCTTCTCAGGATTAGACATCTTGACACAGGTCATTAGCTATCCTGATCGTTTCGAGGCCATCGGCAACCAGGTTGTCGAGCTTCTGTCCAAGAATGCCATTTCGCCTTTAAACAACCTTGCACGATACTCTTTCGGTGAGGTCTCTAAGGCTTTCAGGCTGATGCAGAGTGGTGGTCACGTTGGTAAGATCGTGCTCTACCCTCGTCCTGATGACATTGTCCCAGTAAGTCTCCGCTCAACTGTTCTCTATTAACGCGTGCTAACCCATTTCCAGGTTGTTCCTGATGGCCTTGAGAGCTTCTGTCTGCCTCATGATGCCACATACGTCCTCATTGGTGGTCTTGGCGGCATTGGTCGATCCGTGACGCGACTTCTCGTCCAACGAGGAGCGCGTCATCTCGTCTTCCTCTCTCGATCGGCCGCTTCGCGTCCCGAAGCCCGGGCTCTTCTTGATGAAGTTCACGCTCAAGGTGTCCAAGCCAAGGCATTTGCGGTTGATGTCGCAGAGAAGTCTCAGCTCGAGCCCGTCATCAACGACGTGAAGCAGAGCTTCCCTGCCATCAAGGGATTGATTCACTGTGCCATGGATCTAAGAGTAAGTCATCCTCGAGATCGTTTGTATTCACTCACTAACGCGCTTTAGGACGCGGTCTACAGTAACATGACAGCTGACGATTGGAACGCGTCTCTCCGTCCCAAGCTCCTCGCGACGCGTAACCTCCACGACCTCCTCCCTACCGACTTGGACTTCTTCATCTGCCTGTCTTCGATTGCTGGTATCATCGGATCTCGTGGTCAGGCCAACTACAACGCGGGCAACACGTATCAAGACGCGCTCGCCCACCAGCGCGCGGCTTCGGGACTCGCAGCCACCAGCATCAACCTCAGTCTCGTCGTCGGGATCGGTGTTTCCACAGAGCGCAGCGAAGTCTTCCAGCTTCTCAAGGATGGCGGTCTGCTCGGCATGGATGAGAACGATGTTCTCAACGTCATCAAGGCCGCCATCTCAGGCCGTACCCCCACACAGGTCGCTCTCGGCGCGTCTACTGGTGGCCAACTCGACAAGCTCGCAGCCAACGACCCCTACTGGTTTGCCGACTCGCGATTCGCGGTGCTCAACCAACTGGATCGTCAAGGCACTGGTGCTGTCGCTGGTGGCCAGGACTGGAAGAAGCTCATCGCCGCGGCTGCTTCGCCCGATGAGGTCTACGAAATTGTGTTACAGCAGCTTTTGGAGGGCGTTTCCAAGATCATCAAGGCTGATGTGGAGGATATGGATTCGCGAAAGTCGCTGCCTGCACTTGGCATTGACAGTCTTGTCGCGATTGAGATTCGTACTTGGCTACTGAAGGAGTTCCAGGCTGACCTCTCTGTCTTTGACATTGTCAGTAATGATCCTCTGACGGGATTTGCCAAGAAGGTTATGGCCAAGTCTGCCTTGATTGCATAGAGTCTTAGTTTTCTTGAGAGTGAACATTGGTTACACTGTATGACCAGATCGTTCCATATTTTAGTTTGCTCAGGGAATTTTCTTATTTCCTTGTTTTTTAAAGATAGAACGCGTCCTTAATTATATATATTTACAGTATACTATATAATTCTAGTATAAAAAGTCCTTCTAATAGTTATTTACTACTTAAAAGATGTGATTATAGTGAAAAACGCGTTTATTGTTCTGTAAACGCGCTTTGCAAATAATTATTCAAAGTGAAATAGGGTAGAACAGTCGCGCTTGAGGCTGCATGACACCATTTTCGTCAGCGGTTTTAGAGGCGGTTTCTGTTAAACCGAGCCGAGCCATTACCTATCTTATCACCGATTTCTCTCAATTTTTCTATTAGCCCCAGAATGGTTAGGCATGAAGTCACGAAACAAGTGGATCGACAAACCCACCGAAAGGCTCCGTCCGAAGCCAATAAGTCCCGGTTCCGGAAGAGCCTGTTTCGGGGGCCCATGGACCTTGACCTAAAGCGACAAAAAGAATTGGGCAAATTGGTAGCAGGTCAGGTGGCACTTTGATTACTTAATTTGGCGCCGTCTCAAGATCCAATGTTTCCTTGTTCCCCGATCCGAAACTCCAGTAAGCATTGGACGATGATAGTTCGGCCAGCATTGGGCCAAGATGTGGATGCGATGATTCCAAGATCACCAATATATTTAATTACTGACAGCTAAGCACCGCCTCCATCTCAAAGTATAAGCCATTGGCACATCAGAACAGTCTTTGAACTATTATTTCTTCTACACCAACATCTCCACCACTGCCCATCATGTCCGCCGAGCTCAAAGAATACCTCGTCGTAATCCCTGATCATCCTGACGTCCTGGCCAAGCGACAAGTCCTCCTAAAGCCTCACAACCAAGACGCAGCTCCCCTGGTCAAAGCCGGCCGCGTCCCCTTCTTCGGCAGCACCCTTGCTCATCACAGCGCCGAGGGCCAACAAATCGCCGAGAATGGAACAGTTATGATCATCAAGGCTGAGAGCGAGGAGGAGATCAAGGAGATCATTCGGAAGGATATTTTTACAATTGAGGGGGTTTGGGATTTCGGAAAGTTATCTATTTGGCCTTTCAAAAGTAAATAAGTTGATCATGGGAGACGCGTCTGTTCACATGCAGGGTTTAGCAGGATGCGGCCCGAGAATCAATGGCTTTGACCTCTCTCTTTCGTCAGTTGCAAACATCTTGATGCGATCTCAAGTGCTATTGGTATGATCTGATTTCAGCAACATATGAACAGCCCAAATGTGATGTGAATGCTCGGATCGGATCAGACGAAAAAGGTTCCGACCAGCCTCCCGATAGTCAGAGCAATCGGAGGCTCCCCTGGGCCATACCGATTTGTCCAAATTTCAATGACTTGAGGTTTTCGGTGTTGGCCAATTGTATTGCAGTGTGCACCCGGAAACTTTACCTCTCAAGGTGATGTTATTGAGTCTTGAATTGGCAAACATGCAACCCAAGATACCCATGTTCACTGTTTTCATCAATTCTCACTACCTCGGCGCTGACATCGGGGACTTCTCGCGATAAGATAAGCCGCCGAGGATAAGGATGTTGAGAGCTGCCTGAACTAAACGTGACAAGGGACTGACATTCATAGTTGCTATTTTTGGGCTTGCCGAGAACATAATTAATTATCCAAGTTATAACTGCGCTTGAATCGCTGCAAACCCAATCAGCCCTGCAATAGTTCGTCCTTGCGTATCTTGCGAAGCTTGCCAGTATGCGTAGTCGTCGAGATAATTCCTGGGTGGTTCAGAAGTTTGGTGGAACTAGCATTGGTAAATTTCCAGACAAGGTCAGTTGCATCGCTCTTTGTTCAACTGCTTTGCCATCGTGACGAATGCTGACATGAACATGGTAGGTTGCCGAGATTGTGAAAAGGTACATCTGAGCCACTAGCGTATCAAGCTCGCCGGCTAATTTTGTTGCAGTGCGAGACTTGGAGGTGACAGACCAGCAGTGATATGTTCTGCAAGAAGCTCAGGCAAGAAAGTCTTTGGAACAACGAGTAGGTGAGTCAAACAACCAGATAACCTCGCACCATCTCAAGCTACTAATCACGATTATCAAGGCTGCTACAAGTCTACCGGACGTTGAGAGGCATTGTAGCCATAACTCAAGACCCTGACATGCAAGAGTTACTATTCGACAGACTTCGCAGTATCATTCGAGATATCCGTGACGACCAAGTGGCCACTGTCCAGATGTATATCTCGAGACAGGACATCCGTGATGAGACAATTCGACAAATCACGGCAGATTGCCAAGAGCTACTTGATTACACATCCGCTGCTAAGCGCTTCAACCTCGACATTAATGGCAAAGCAAAAGACAAAATGGTCAGCTTCGGCGAGAAGCTGAGCTGTCGACTCATGGTTGCTATGCTACGAGACAGAGACATCCCAGCGGAGTACGTCGATCTCTCCGATATTGTACCCAGCAATAACCTGGATCAGTTGAAACCCGACTTCTTCCCCGAAGCTGCAGCAGTCTTTGGGAAGCGAGTTGAAGCTTGCAATGGGAGAGTCCCCGTCATCACTGGTTTCTTCGGCGCTGTTCCGGGGAGTCTGATAGACAGTGGTATTGGAAGAGGATATTCTGATCTGTGTGCTGTCTTGGTGGCGATCGGTTTACATGCAGAGAGGGTACAGATCTGGAAAGAGGTTGATGGCATTTTCACAGCTGATCCCAGAGAAGTTCCTGATGCTAGGTGCCTCCCTTCGATTACTCCGTCAGAAGCAGCTGAACTTACATTCTATGGATCAGAGGTCATTCATCATCTTGCACTGTCTCTGGCAATCCAAGCAAAGCCTCCAGTTAGCATCTTTGTCAAGAATGTGCAGAAGCCGTGGGGCCAAGGAACTGTTGTTGTTCCCACTGATGGCGATGACACATCTTCGTGGCCGATCGACTACCTAGATCCTTCCGACTCGGACAGTACTTCTTCCACAGCACTGCCGAAAATGCCAACTGCTGTCACTATCAAACGAGACATCACCATCTTCAACATCCTCAGCAACAAACAGTCCATGTCTCACGGCTTCTTCGTCAAGGTCTTCACCATTCTGGCCGAGCACGATATCTCAGTCGATCTAATCTCCACCTCGGAAGTCCATGTTTCTATGGCAATCAACAGTTCCAACATGGATCCTTCCCAGATCAAGAATGTTCAGTGCAGGCTTGCTGAAGAAGGAGAGGTCAATGTGCTGCCTGACATGGCTATCCTGAGTCTCGTTGGTGCTGAATTGAAGAATATGACTGGGATTGCTGGCAAGATGTTTGCCATTCTGGGGGAGCAGGATGTCAACATCGAGATGATCTCCCAAGGTACGTTAAATGTAGCTGAGTCATTGAAAAATTGTGTGCTAATATGTTTTGGTGACAGGCGCTAGCGAGATCAACATATCTTGTGTGATCCCGGATAAGGACGCCACTAGGGCGCTGAATATGTTGCATAATGAATTATTTACGAAGAACGCCATATAGATCATATCTGTAAACAATCAAGCACGTGGTTTCTTACTTAACAGAGCTAAAGTAGGTAGTTATTATATCGGCGTCATTGTAGAGCATAAGTATATGTCAAGTGCTACTGGAGTGTACAATACAAGCTGTTCGTACTGTCATCTATAGTCATGAGAGCTGGAGCAATCCGGCTTAATTTTCCTTCCTCCTTTTAATCTAATCGTGATCAACTTTCGGCTTTTGGCTGTTAAATACATCTTTCTTCACGGCAATCAGAGGTTTTCTCGATAGCTATCCATCAACACTGACATCTAATCCGACGATCTTCTGGATACTTCCTGATTGCACTAAGAGGATAAGCTCCTGTATCTGGTCACCCAAAGCGCCTGTACTGTCTATAAGATTAGGCTATAGTTTCTAAAACCAATAATGAGATCTTGAAGAGTCCATGTATGGCTAGACTTTATGCGAGACGTGAGAGGAATCACAGTCTATGAAAGATGTAAAGACACAATCTCAATCTATTTTCCGAAGTCTATGGTAAAGAAATAATCTATCATGTCCTATAACAATTCTGAAACTTTTCGTTTGCAATCAGCCATCCAGCAACATTAACATAAGAAAAACGACCATAATCCTCTAGTGAAGAGAAACAACCGTCTCGATAATCAACTCTGCAAAGTGCACCAACTCCTCGTTATATCGGGGAAAGTTGTGTCCACCACGATGTGTCATCTTCCTCGCCATATCGGGATCAAACAACTCGTATACAGACTCATCGACGAATGAGTAGTGATCCTTCAAACCACGGACATGGACAGAAGGTACTGGGATCTTTTCAGGGATATCACTCGGTCTCCATCGAAGGAGGAGATCAACAGGAAAGTCAAGCTCATCCTTGACAGCGTTGATCATGTCATACTCAATTGAAGTGTGAAGATCTTTCTTCCAGTCCAACCTCTTGCAGTGAGAAACGTCAATTCGTCCAGGGAGGTATGTCGGCTCAAGAGTGTTCTTCTCTGTAAGATCCCAGCTGATCACACCATTGTCAAAGGAGTGGGGAAGGAAGGCTGATGCGAAGATGGCCATCTTGAAAGGGTATGGTGTATCGGGATGCTCAGCTTGGTGCATGAGAAGAAGAAGGGCGGCCATAGAACCACCCTGGGAGAAGCCCCAGACTCCATCAAAGGGACCTTCTGACTCGACGTAGGCAGCTAGACGCTCATATGCCTCCTCGACGTCTTCCGGGTAGGGAAAGTTGTACCAGCTGTAGTTGGGCTTGGGGACTTGCTTGAGATTTGCTGGTCTTGTTAGCTTCATGGATATAGTGGAGACGGCCTACTTGACACTTACGGAGCATCAGTTCTGTGGGTTCCATGCCCGCCTCGAGGAATTCGTACTCCCAGTCACTTGGCAGATGAGCAGTGATGGGCTCCATCTGTTGTTGGAGAACCTCTACGCTGAAGGCATAGCCGTGGAGACAAAGAAATCTCATCTTGATTGGAGGTAAATGAAATTTTGAAACAGAATTGAATTGAAGGTCAAAGGATGCTTGGGGTCGAAGTAGTGAATCAGATGAATGTTGGTGAGTTGTTGTAATTGAGTATATTTTAGACCTTCACCAAGGCAACCTTTTTATGAACCTTCACTTCCTTTCGTCCGGTCTTCTCTATACGTGGTATACTGCAAGTAACGGCAGGACTTGGTTTATTCTCTGTCAAGGTTGTTCAACGCTGTTTCACCATTGAGAAAGCCGTATGTGATGCATACCATCCGAACCACTCGGATCGCCTTGCTAAGATGGAAGGCAACCCCATAGGTAAGCTTGACAAGAGCGGGACTGCCGGAGCCACAAATGCAAGGATGAATCCAGATCTGGCCACCGAGTGGCTTCCAGAAGCTTATTCTATCGATCGGAAGATGTACGGAAGCTTGCAGAAGTGGGTCGAAGGATCGGAGGTTGTGCTGGCCACTTCGGAGGTTCGAGAATAACACGGGTAGATACTAACACTGGGTTATCTCTTACGAATATGAGATCAGATTACGTCTTTGACATGAAAGATTGACAAATTCTTGAAGTTGGCTGCCCCGACGCCGTTGCTGTAGTATGCCCTCCCTGATGATATCCCTCTTTACTCTTTTACTAAGCAATCGTCTCCCATGAGCCAGCACCAGACTCTGAGAGCGCTCCACAAACATATCCTATCCCGCCCCCAGTGCATTTTGATTAGCTCTTCTGGCAAATTGTTTGTAGCAGCAAGACGAAGAATGACGACGACGACAATGGCCCCTGCGTTGCCAACGCCCATTCACGATGGCCTTGGTAATGGTACTACATATGGTAAGACATTGAGTTCAGCATGTCTTAATAGAGTTATACTGACTTAACGCAGAGAGGAGTATTCCCAGGCCCGTCAATCCGTTCTCGCATCGTGTCCTTGGACGAGAAATCATGACGGTCCCCAACTTCACGCTCGAATCTGGTGTTGAGATGCGAAATGTGCCAGTTGCGTACATGAGCTGGGGCAAGCTGGCACCAAAGGCCAATAATGTCATGATAATTTGCCATGCGTTATCTGGGAGTGCAGATGTCAGCGACTGGTGGGGTCCGCTTCTCGGACCTGGAAAGGCATTTGACACGGACAAGTTCTTTGTCATCTGTATGAATAGTCTAGGAAGCCCATATGGAACCGCCAGTCCTGTGACAGCCAAGAATGGAGACTACTCGGAGGGATGGTACGGGGCTGACTTTCCTGCAACTACCATCCGAGATGATGTTCGGTAAGTGATATTTGCTGAGACAACCACAATCACCCGCTAAGTATCGCAGGCTTCACAAGCTGGTCTTAGACAGGCTCGGAGTTCGGAAAGTTGCTGCTGTCGTTGGTGGCTCTATGGGTGGTATGCACGTTCTCGAATGGGCGTTCTTTGGTAAAGACTACGTTCGTTGTATTGTACCAGCTGCAACGTCAAGTCATCAAAGTGCGTGGGCCATTGGCTGGGGCGAGGCACAGCGCCACGCCATTCGAAGCGATGTTAAATACAAGAATGGTCGTTACGGATTTGACGATCCCCCTATTCTTGGACTGGAAGCGGCTCGTATGACAGCATTGTTGACGTATCGAAGTCGGGACTCCCTTGAGAGGCGATTTGGGCGCGGTACGGGAAACAAGAAGAAGGTGAGCACCTAAGATTTGTGAGAAGGCTGGGTCTAACAAAAGCTCAAGACACAAAATAAAGACGGCGAGACGGTGCCGAGCAACAGTACACCAATTCACAGCCAAGGAGGGGCCGATGAAACACCTGTAGCATTTGACCGTGCCGACTCCAACTTCGCGGCCCAATCCTACCTCCGCTACCAAGCTAAGAAGTTCTCCGACCGCTTCGACAGCAACTGTTACATCGCCCTCACCAACAAACTCGACACTCATGATCTGGCACGTGGTCGAACACGGACTATTACTGAAGCACTGTCACTGATTGAGCAGCCTACTCTTGTGCTAGGAATACGAAGTGATGGGCTGTACACCCTTGCTGAACAAGAGCAGATTGCGCGAGCTGTACCAAATGCCAAGTTGAGAGAGATTGTGAGTGACGATGGACATGATGCGTTCTTGATTGAATGGAGTCAGTTGAATTGGTTGTTAATTGGGTTTCTGCATGAGAGTTTGCCGGATATCATGCAACGAGCGGCTCTGTAGTATTGAAGTAGGCATATCACTATACATCTTTATCATCCTGTATCGAAGAAAGGTCAGAGTGCCTTTTATGACGCCGCGTATACCTACTCTGTAGCTGACAATCTGCCTGGCCTGGTTCTCGCTTTCTCAGTAGGCCGAGGAGCCGTAAACACATGAGATACCAATAAAACCTCATCATCGCTTTCCCTTCCCCCATCTTTTGTATTCGCCAATTCCCTTGTCTCCGTTACCGTGAACTCTGACACGCGCAATATTCTCGTCGATCGGCTATCGTCTTGAAGTAAATCACCCTGTATATGACGTCTGTTCTGTAGTTCGATCTCGTGGTAACGATTGGAAGTGTGCGGCTCGGGCGGCTGGTTGGTAGCGTAAGCTTTTCTCGAGCGATTATAGCTGGACATTGACGGAAAGTATCGTGAGACGAAAGGCCGCAGTGTTGGGACGCAGGCGCATAGCAGCCCGCAACAAAGTTCGGTGAATGACCAACATGCCGGTTCGACGTTGACCCAGGTCAGGTCTTCTTGGATATCTAGGTAACCCATGCGAACCATAGAGATGGCACATGTACTATGCAGGCGATTAGTAGTAGGTCACAAGACGAGATTGCTTGGGTATAACTTGCAGAAAGCCCACGCAGAATACCCCAAGCAGGACAAAGCGCTGCCGACGAGCCAGATTCAGCTTTATCACCACGGGAAAGGGGATCACTATAATCATGATATCCGTCGCGATGTTCCCAGCTGCTGTGATGTACCACGTCGGATTTCTCGGAATGCATTTGCCTTCAATAGTTTTATCCCAGAAAGCAGCTATGGGCGTGCAAATGAAGATATTAAGGAAAATTTGAGAAATGCTCCAGGCCGAAACGAAGACCATAGCAACCAAGAGAACCGTCTTCATCTTGTTTATAGCGAATGCGCGGTAGTATTGACAGAGGAGTGTTGTTTTGATCGCGCCTAAAGATACAAGGTAAAGGATAATGCTAACGTAAAACACCTTGCGGTGGGATTAGCAAGTAAGCCGATAGACGTCCCAGAAACAAACCTTGAAATAATTCCTGGATTCCTCTTCTGTTAAGAACACTTGATGTCTACCAAATCCATATTTGATGCCTTTGGATAGTTTAGTTTCTCATCCGTTCTGGAGCGGAAATTTCTCTTACCTAGTAGTATGCTGAATGCACATGCAGCAATTGAAGCCTGTTGATTTGCCCTTTAGTACCTGAGCCCCTGGCCTTGACGTAGAAGCTGGGAATTACCATGGATAATACAGCCCAGATATCGTCGGCACCGAACTGCTTCAACAGCATAGCTCGAGTGTATACTCGTAAAAGCACAATACTAAGAGTCAGTAGCAGTAAGGTTAGGACAACACCCAGTATGAGCGGTGCCCTAGTATCCGCCTCCTTCATTTCGAGTATATCTTGAGTGTCAATCAGGTAATAACGCAATGGCCGCTGAGTGAACGATTGCTAACCGCAACGTTGGTTAACCCTCCGGAATATGTAACCATCAGTTAGTCCCCTGAAGAGTTTACCAAGTAAAAGTTTGCCAATAATAGAGTTAAGCCATTACACGACCTGCCCAAATCGATACGTTGCTAGCCCAAGCCACTAGCTTGGGGGAAATGCAGGCTTCGAGTTAGTCAAGCCGCCAAACAGGCTAAAACTTTACCAACCAACCAGAAATAAATACAACCACTCTAAAATCAGTGCTAAGAGAAGATGATTATATCCGCCACCGGTTAACGGTAATCTGCAAATTTGGATAATCGTTTTAGAGACGAAGCTATAAGGAGGTAAGGCGCGTAATGCAGGGCTCGGCTGTCAGATCTATCATCTCAAAACACTTCAGGCAGCCTAGCAGCATACCAACTACCCACACAGTAGCCCTAAGCTTTTCAGCTGAAAGCCAACAAGCCCCTCACGACGCCACATGTCAGCTGTTGTATAGCAGTGAAGATCATTGTCAGCAGGAGGTCAAGGAGGCGCAGACTAAACGGAGAATGGGGTAAATGATATCTCCACACAATGCGTCATGGTCTCGTGTCTGAGTCGCGTAGTAGATCAAACGTTTGCATCTATTCCTTAGGGAAAAGCGTAAGTGTTAAGAAGCCTGTTCTATATGAAACATGATAAATAATAAGAGAGCTCAAAGGGTTCCAAGTTTAGTATCCCAGTTAGCCGGAATGCTGTTCCATATACTGATCAAGCTAATGGCAGCACATTTTAGCTAGAGTTAAGATACCTGACGCGGACCATCCAGGGCATGATTAGGCGGGAGTGAAGCGATTAAGTAAAACGGGCACGGAACTTTCCGATAAAAGTTAAATGTTCCATCCAAGTCCAATTCAACTAAGACATTACGCAACAAAATCATGTGAGAATCATATCCTGGATACCTATTTAGGATAACCAGACTACCAGAAACATTAAGATGTTAAAGCGGGGGTGACACCGTTAATGCACGCCGCGTTTCGGAGATGTGCGATTGAAGATCGTTTCAGGTACCTATCACCCGTCGGACCGACGATGTGAAGATATCCCCAATTCCCAGCGTGTGTCCATGAAGATCTTCGAGTCTTGGCAGGGCGCGGTTTTCGTCGATGACCTAGCAGCCTAGATCGGAGAGGCTTTGACGCTTTGGCAGATCAAACCCACACCAGCTGAACCGGCATTGCCGTTTATTTATACAAAACAGGTAATTTTCCCCTAAAGAACTGGGGTAGGTCAGACCAAACTTATCCCTATGAGATTTAGATCTAAAGACAATTGGCTCTTTAAGGTTTAAAGTTTGAACAGCAAGCAGTAGCCGGAAATTATTTACTCCGCCTGTGGAGGGACGACTGACCTTTTAGGTTGATATGGGCTGATAACCCTAACGACTGCGTAACCTCTAAAGCCATTTGTAGAAAACCTGTGCTTATTTGTCAAGGTCTTAGGTCAGATTCTTAGTGTTTGCGTAGCCGCTCTCCCACCTTCCCGTATATACCCGAGCCATTATCAACAGCATACTGTGAGTTGAAGACAGTCATGAGCCAGAAAGGGTCCTATAAAAAAGAGGAACAATTGTCTCTTAACTCAGTTATCGCATTAGAAAATCACCTCTACTCTGATTTAAACAACTCCATAATCTCAAGAGCCCCATTCGCTGCCGCAATATCCAATGCTGTCCGATGCTCCCAATCCTCCACTAAAGGATCTAGCCCTTTACCCATCAAAAGCTTGAACCTTTCCAGTCTCGTGAAGCAACTTCCTTGACATCGGTAACTGGCCACAAGATGAAGTAGAGACTGACCATTTGCGTTAATAGCAGTCCAGTCTACACCGGCCTTTTCGAAGAGCGCCCATAGCACTGGTCGTCTTTCTTCCATGGCTTGTCTCTCAGACTTAGAGGTGTACCTGAACGGAGCCAGGATTCCCTTGTTGGAATCGGTTCTGGGCATGTCAACGTAGAGATCGCCCTTGCGGAAGAAAGAGAAGATAGGTGTCTCGCCCATTTTGTTTCGTGCGTTGATGTCTGCGCCTTTCGAGAGAAGCAACTCCATTGTTGGGTATACAGACCCTTGCCAAACCTCACCACCACGATCATCCACGAGTAGTTTCCATTCCCTCTGCAAAAGAAGATGCAGTGGTGTATTGCGATTTTCATCCTTTACACAAATGTCGTCTCCTGCAGCTATGAGCATTTGGACAAATTCTTCGACTTTTTCGAGGCTGCTCAGATATCCAAATTCATTTCTATCGTCCAGCGCATGGTGTAGTGGTGATCTGCCGCATTTATCGACCTGATCTAAAAGCTCTGGTGCGCGAGCTATAATGTAGTCGAATAGCTCCTTCTTGGAAAGGAGGGTAGATCCTATATGGAAGATATTCCTATCAAAATCATCTCTTGCGTATAAGTCAGCGCCTCTGTCGATCAGTGTTCGAGCTGACTTTGCATCAGCTTTCTCGAAAGCAACATGAAGTAATGGAACACCTGCAGTGTCCCTCAGATCGACGTCAAGGGTCGGATGCTGGAGAATGAGGTCCAAGTATTTCCTTCGGACGCTGTGAGTAAAATTGGGGTTGGCGCTACTTTTATTCAGCACATGAAGACTGAACTTGGCATTTCTCAGTGTCTTATGCGCCACTGTTGTGTGATGGAAGGGAGCATTTGGATTAGCGCCAAACTTGAGCAGTATTTCGACCATGCGGATATACGCCTCACAGTCAATCTCGCTCGCAGTCTCACTATCGATCTCGCTAATCACCATGTCGAGAGGGTGTATCTCGCGAAAAGAGGCAGGAATGTCCACTTTGTAATACATTCTCCATCTCCTTTCGTCTGGACAAGGCGGGCTTGATGGTCTGCAGACATTTGCATCTGCACCAGAAGAGAGTAGCATCTCTACCATACCAACATCTTTGGAGAGAATCGCGGAAGTGAGTAGGGAAGGGTCGACGATAGCTCCATGGTAAATCAGCATCTCGAAGATTGTCTTATTATCAATAACGCGTGCAAGACAAGATTTGCCTTCATAGTCCACGCTATTGGGATCTGCACCAGCCCGTAGAAGCATCTCCGTAGCCTTAGGAGTCCACACAGGTTTCTCGATGTTGCACAAACTGGCCATCAGTGGCGTGAGTCCGCCTGCGTCTCTGCTTTCCAGGTACACGCCTTGCCCGATCAGGTAGGGAAGTGCCTCGCCTGTATGCCACCAGGGATGTTCCCCCCCTCGGGTCAGAACATGAAGAAAGTCGTATTCTGGTGGCTTCCTTTCACCGATTTCGAGACCCTTTGATACTAAAAGCCTGATCACTGGCATGTTAGGCTCTGTGGATTCACATGCAGCACGCATCAGTGAAGATATGCTCTGATACTCCGTCCTCCCAAGGCTGAGAATTGTTTCTGGTGTAAGCAAAGTATCAAGAAGCCTCGCCATGCCATCTTTTGCGAAGTCGACGAGAACGGGTTGCAAGTCTTCAGGTTTGGGAGAAACTTCGTTGATGTAGTTGAGAATAGCGTCATAGCACTTCCATTCCTTAAGGCTGCTTACGTGCCACGGAAACTTGTAGCATTTGCCGCATTCGCATTTCTTTTCGACAAAGTCTTCCTTGAATATCTTTTCTCGTCGTTGTAAGCACTTCTGTACCTCGGGCACGCAAGGCATCTCGCCTCCAACACCCCAAGCCTTTCGTGCTTGTACGAGACACTCTATGGTGTAATCATGGTTTGGGTGATAGGAGAGCCGGTGTTTCTCAACGGGATATAGATTCTCAGCCGTAGCCATCTTAACAGCCTCAGAGATGGCCATATCAAGGAGATGCCAGTTTGGTGTCGCGGCTTTGTCAATGATGAGATCCAAAATTTCCAGTAGCGGTCCCTCGACTGGTGCATACTTGGGCCGTTTTGTATTATCAACAAGCACGGCACCAGAATCAGGACAAGTCTGGGAACGAAACTCCTGCCAGTTATTGGTCTCCTCTTCAATACAAACACAACCACTCAATGCAGAGCCTTCGTACGTCTCCATTTCGACCACCGCACCAGCATTGATGAGAAGCGCAACGGACTGAAAGCGACCAGAGGCGCAAGCGTAGTACAGCGGGGCCCGGCCACAGTTGTCTTTGAGGTTAAGTAGGTTCTGCAGCTCTTCATTGGCTGTTATTTCTCTGAGCCAATCCAGAAGAAGACCAATGGTGTTGCTCTGTCGACCTCGGGATGCGAGATGAAAGACATTCATCCCCTCCTTGGTAACCAGTGTTGCATCAGCACCGAGCTCTAGAAGCCTCCTTGTGAAATCAGTAGAGTAAGTCGACCCGATGTGAAGTGCAGTAACTCCATTGTTGTCTCTCATGTTGACATCTCCAACCTGTTGCAGCAGATACTCAAATAAGATGGTTTTTGAAGCCGGCTGCTTGTACTCGCAGAAGAGATGAAATGGCGTAATTCCTTGGTTATTAGGTTTTGCAGGATCTATACCCAAATCTGTGATGCTTTGCAGAGTCCCTAGTGAGGGTGATCCGAGGGCCTGGTTGGCATATTTTGGCATCGCCTCATGCCATATTGTGTTTCCTTCGCGATCAGTTTGGAGAGGATCAGCTCCAAGCTCGATAAGACGATGTAGAACATCGAAATCCTTGCCATTGCGACAGTTTCGAACTGCAGCGTGCAGTAATGTCCGCCCTTGCTTGTCCGTCACATCAAATCGTGCCCCTAAATCTGCCATGACAGAAATAAAGCTCTCACCCTTCTCAGTATCTGTGTTTTTCGTCATGTCGGCCTGCGAAAATCTGCATTCTACTGCAAATTCCTTGACCAAATCTTCCAAGCTGACATAAACCCTATCGATGATGTTGAAGAGAAGTGTTTGGCCCTTGCTATCCACAGCGTTGATATCAGCTTTCGTAAGCTCAATAAATCTCCTCAAACACGGAGGCGACACAGTGCTGGAGGATTCATCCTGCATAGACAGCCTGTGAACAGCAGCTTCGCCCTTTGTATTGTACAAGTTTGGATCTAATCCGTCTTGCATTAATCTCTTAAGAAGTTGGATCCCTTCAGGACTAGCAAACCCTTTTTCTGTGGAGGCTAAATAGTGCAATGCAGTGTTGCCGTCATCGTCGACACTACGAGCATCGACCCCGAGATCAAGAAGCTGCATAGCACCCTCTAACGATGAGACTGCCTTGGGTCCTCTGGCACATGTTCTCTCTAGTAACCGGTAAAACATTGTTTTGCTCTCTCGATCCCTGGTGTCGACATCCGTCTTGCTGAGTATTATCTTCATGATATCAATATCTTGGGAGGCGTGAAGCGGCGTATCGTTACACCAGTTGATCGCAGTGATGTCCGCTCCAGTCTCAAGAAGAAGTTGTGCCATGAGAGGGATTTCCGCTAGATGAAGTGGCGTATTCTCTGCGCTGTCGATATGGTTGACATCAGCACCTGCATTGATGACTAAATGGAAACACTCTCGGATAGCTTCATCATCAGGTGGATATTTGTTAGGAAAGGCTGAAGCTCGCTTGTAGCTGCTGTATGGATCATTCGATGCACAGTAAGGCGCTGCCAATGCGTGTAGAACGTTGGGTCCCCCCATTTCATCCCGAGAACCACTAAGCGCTCTGCCCTGCTTTATGCTCTCAGCTAGAAGTCTCGGCTTTGGGCGCAGTTGGCAGATGTTTGGGTCTGCACCGGCTTCCAATAGTATAGAGACCATCATGGGATCGACCTGCTTGCACGCCTGGAACAAAGCCGTTGGAGAATCAGCATGATCGTTGATGCCTGCCAGGCCAAGTTCCAAGATCGACCTCATCAATCTCAGGTCCTTGAAGCCATTGATAACCCAACTCAAAGCCTTGTTGGCCTGCTTTTGAGTCTTGATGGATGGTAGAAACAGCTGAGAAACTGTGCTATCGTCGACTAGGAAGGCCTCCTGAATGGGTAACCTCAAGCGAGGTGCTCTCTTTCTCTCCTCCTGCGTCTTCCACGGATCGGCGCCAGCTTCCAATAGACAATCGATGATAGCGGAACGTAGGTTGCCATTTGTTCTGGAACATCCACTTAACGCCCTGTGAAGTGGTGTGCATCCCCTACTGTCGTGTTCGTCCAGTTTGGCGCCATGCCTAACGAGTAAACGGACAATGTCTAGATTTCCGTCATCCACCGCCTGGTGTAATGGAGGGTAAGTCTCTAAGTATCCATGAAACTTGAGTGCTTCCTCACCACAAAATCCAAGTAGACTGTCAATAAAACTAGTCAACCCTAGCTTTATGCCGAACATCAAAACCTCTGTTTCAAGGGGAGCTTCCAGATCACGGTGCCTTTGGAAGCCATTTTCCCAACAAGGTTTCTCTGCCAGGGTAGCTAGTAGCTTTACATGTTTTGGAATCATGAGCATTGAAAGGATTCTGTTGTTTGTTTCTTCCTGCGCAAAGTCTCGCTTAGCAGCTTCGTTGGTGTGAATATACCAGTTTTGCATCGCGTAGTTCAAAAAAGGCGGTAAATCTTGGTTCGTTGACATAATAATCTCGATGACGCGGCCGTAATCCTGAAACTTGATCTTGTCTAAATGGCCTGAGCTAAGATATGACACGCAGAGGTTTGCGAGAAGATCGTGTGTCGGGCCAGGCTCAAACACGGGGATCTCGTTATCATCCGGAGATCGGTCAAGTCCGAAGAGATACTCAGTCAAAGAATGATGAACGACGCGAACAGTTTCGTCAGGAAGGACTTCCAGTAATGGTCCACAACAAGTCCGAACATAGTTCTTGATAATTCCGGTGTCTCGACCATATTGGGGCTGGGTTTCTCTGATACAGTCGGATATCTCAAGAAGACGCAATGGTCGAGTAGCATGAGTGACAAGTTGCAAGACGAGCATTTGCAGTCCTTCTGGGAGTCCGGTACGGTCCATATGCTCACTGAAGAGATTTCTATACATGTCTGATAGGCTGATGGGCATTCTTCCAATGCTCTCCAGTATTTCCGCCTCAGATTCGGTTTGTAGCTCAGAAATTTGGTCCATGGCCAACTTGGCATATAGAAACAACCCATCGGCCTTCTTGAAAACTGTTTTCTTGATTGAAACTCTGGTCTCAGGCAATAGCTTGGAGGCATCGAGTCGATGTTCAAGATAGGTAGATATATCGGGATCGATAGCTTTCTTATCTAGACGAATGTCCAAAAGCTTCAAGTTTCGCACCATCTTCCCAATCGTCGAAATAGGACGGCTTGTAATTATGAGTTTGATTCTATCAGGGTGCATGTTGCCCAATTGATCAATAAACTGCAAGAAACCTTCCAAGGCATTACCGTCCATCTCATCCAGGGCATCGACAACGCAGTAGGCCCTGGGCATGCTTTTCAGGGCAAGTCGAACGAGATGCCACAGCTCAACCAAGGACAGATCGTCAACAAAGTCGAGACAGATGGGCTGAGAGATCAGATTCCTTATGGCCAGTTGTAGAGGAGGACTAAGGGGTAGGATCTGAGCGAGCCAGTCGCGGAGGGCAGACTCGGGGCGATGGTTGGATCGGATGGTGTGACGAAAGAAAAAGTACAGAACTGGGCAATCTTCGGATGAGAGGCAATGGATCAGTGTTGAGGCAAGGACCGATTTGCCCGTGCCGGGAACACCCCGAATCCACAGAATACCATCATTGCGGCCATTATGCCATTGTTGAAATATGGGAGAATCGAGGAGCCACTGGCTAGTGCCCTTCAAATGACAGCTACTATGCTTCTTCAGCTCACTACCATCTCCTTCATACCTGGTTGGTCTGAGCCAGTCATACAATCTCTTCAAAGTGGCCTCGTCTTGGGGCAGGATGTTAGACTGGTCATAGTCGGCAATAGCCAACCGATCGACGACTACGACGTCGTCTAGCGGAAGATCAAGTTCGTCCAGCAACATAGCAAGTAACCCTAGGAGGTGTAGCAAAATAGTATTTCAATCGTCAGTGTTAGCTTGAGATCGGATGATTCTTTTGCAGATTTGTGCCATGTTACAAATAACCACACTGCGCCGTAGGGTTATTATATGTCAGATTATATTTAATCTCGTGATATAGCCCGTTAGGCAGAAGGCTTGGCATGATGGATGGCCCAATGAGCTTTTAGAGTGTCAAACAGAGAAACCCCGCTAATTTATGTAATACAGCTATACTCTCTGACATCTGCAAGATCTCTGCTAGATGAAGAAGAGAGTTCCCGGCCATATCGATATGGTTTTAATGGTTATAACTCATAGTAGTGGCGCGTTAGCGCTAGCGCTGTTCAATTTCGCCTGAACGTACAGTATGACATCATAGTCCATAGCCGATCCCTATACTGAATGAGGCAAATCAAAGAACTGACCCTGACTACCAATCACGCGGTATAAATACAGCGTATTGGCAATTTCAAGTCTGGAGCTTAATGTATTATCTCCCGCAACGCATCTACCATGGAGAAGTTTATTTATCCATTGAACCCACCTAATCGGTTTCGCGACAATGGCAAACAGATGCAGGTTCTGTGTCTCGGCCTCTCACGAAGCGGCACAGATTCACTACGCTCTGCCCTGAGGATCCTCGGATATAGTGACGTATACCATGGGTTCGTCATTACGTCACACCAGCGCGAAGACTGCGCATTCTGGGTTCCCCTAATGCGTCGGAAGCTCAGAAATCCCAATTTCAGAGAGTCAATCGACTTTGACTCTGTTCTTGGAAACTGTGAAGCGGTCACCGATGGGCCCGCTAATGTCTTCGGCCATGAGCTTTTAACCTACTACCCCAATGCCAAGGTCATTATCAACCGACGCCGACATGTAGATGACTGGTATAGCAGTATGAAGAAGACGTGTCTCGAGGTGTTTAGCTGGCCTATGTGGGTGCTTAGCTGGTTTGATACGAGTATCTGCTGGCTCTGGTGGAATTTTGAACTTGTGATGAAAGAATACTATAAAGGCGACTTCGAAAAATTCGGCAAAGAAACGTTTAAAAACCACTATAAGGATCTCGAAAGCAGATTAACCAAGGACGAAAGGCCCTTCCTGGATTGGACCGTCGAAGATGGATGGTGAGTTTACTATATAATTTACCGTCAAGCCGCGTCTAACATAGATAGGGAGCCCCTTTGCAAATTTCTTGAGAGGCCCACTCCAGATGTTCCATTTCCGAATGGTAATAAAGGAAGCGGTCAGTTCCAGGATAACATGCAACAAGCCACGAGAGATATCGTAGCAAACGCGTTGCGGAATATGACACTTTGCTTCACACTGCTTTTGTCGACTACTCTTGCATTTATTCTTACAAGGAACCTGTAGCATCTTGTTAGCTAGTGCTAAAGCTGTAGATGGATTATATTATTGTTTATCTCGAGCTGTTAGCAGATCTATAGGTTCCGCCATACCCAGGAATAGAGTAGCTTTACCGCACCCACTTTAACTTCGTATCATTTTGTCACAAGTCGGAGTCGGTGAAGAGCCAGTGAAGAACCGGTGTATGAAAGCTCATAATATGCGTGTATGTGATTAGTGAACATCCCGTGCGACGGATCCCGCAGCGTGGTCTCCGGGACTGCTTACTAAAATGAGTGCCAATCGAAGTCTGTTTTGATGCCCTTACACGCTTACCAATCAAGACGGAAAGTATACGTGGCCTGGATATACGGATCTAGCACTCGCGCCTTTGACGGAACAGGGCATCAAAACTTTCTAGAACGTGTGTCGGCTGTGAGATGGTTTGCGAATTAGTAAGAGGATAAATCTGATAAAGCTTCCTGGTCACCATGGCGTGACAGAGTAAGCCACTAATGGGAGCGATGTTATTCTTGTATAAATTCACACTTTTCCTCTGCTTCTATCCCCACCTTCATTCAACGGATTCAAAAGCGCGAACAACAATGTCTCAAAAAGCTCTTTTACTTGAGGAGGTGGGTAAGCCACTAACCTTGGGGCACCGGACAATTCCAGAGCCTGGTAAGAACCAGCTACTGGTCAAGGTCCTCGTTGCGGGCCGTAAGTTTCAAGAACACGTTTACCTACGGAGAAGACTCGAGACTGAATGAACCTTAGTAAATCCTCATGACCAGAGAACCCGCGATGATGGCCTCTTCGTCACCAGCATGCCATATGTCATTGCTAGCGATATTGTCGGCGAGGTAGTAACTGTCGGAACCGGAGAGCACTCGGCCAAGTTCACACTTGGAGAGCATGTATTTGGTCACACGTATGCTGAGGGGGGCTTCAACAATGACTTCAACGCCGCTCAGCAATATGCCCTCGTTGATGCGAGGTTCGTAGGCAGAGTTGCTGGCAGTGGGCTGAACGACGATGAGGCATCAACAATTCCTGTTATAGTTTTGGCTGCCTTTATCGCCCTATTTACTCCCTCCGGTCTTAGCATTCCAGCCCCTTTCACATCTGAGGCCAAGTCATTTGACTATTCTAACATCAGCCTTCTCGTCATTGGAGGTGGCTCTAACACGGGACGAGCCGTTGTCGAACTTGCAAAGTTGGCAAGAATAGGTCAAATCATCGCCGTCGCTGGTGGCCAGAACGAAGAAAAGCTCAAGGCCATTGGAGCTACCCATGTTATCGACCGAAGAGCTCCTGATGTGCTGGACCAGATCCGAGCCATCGCTGGAGATGAGTTAATCTACGCTGTTGACACGGTCAATCCTGGCCTGGGTCAAGAACTTGGTATCGCAGCACTATCAAACCAGACAAAGGGAACCTTGATCACTCTCAGACGACCAGACGGAGACTTTGACGCTGGTCGAATAGGACCCAAAGCTGCCGGATATGAGAGGCGGCTTGTGTTTGGGGTATCCCCGATCCACCCGGAGCTGACTACGAGATTCTGGGAAGAGGTTCCTTGTTGGTATAAGGAGGGGAACCTTCATCCGAGTAGCTTTGAGATTATTACAGGTTTAGATGTGGATGCGGTGAACAAGGCGCTGGATAAGTATCGGGATGGCAATGGAGTCAAGATGAACATCCACCCTTGGGAATGAACATCTACAACCGTTCTCTAGCGACAAGATTGGAGAAAGACATATTTTACTTTTTCATTCATGAATATACACCCATATTTAACCATTGCCCTCGTCCTTTCATCCCAGTACTCGCTCACATTTAAGCGTCGCTTATCTTGAGCACTGTCTTACCATGGCTTCCACCAGTGAACATGGACAAGAACGCCTTGTCAGCCTGCTCAATGCCTTCAAACTGAGTATAGCGAGACTTGATCTTCCCCTCTGAAACCCACTTTGGCATAGTAGCCTTGAAGCTCTCAATGTTGTCAGTGTAGATGTTGTCATCCCAGAAGATGAAGCCCTGGATCTTGATGCGACGGCGGAAGATCTCTGATAGGTTGGTGACTCCATACTGCTCTTCGACAGGCTTGTTGTACTGAGATGCCTAGATAATGTGAGCGAGTTGAGCCGGCTAATTGGAGGTGAGACTTACTGTTCCACAGCTGATGATGCGGCCGAACCACTTCATGTTCTCGATGGCAGCTTGGAAATGATCACCGCCGACATTCTCAAAAACAACGTCTAGTCCATCTGGTGCAAGACGTTTGAGAGCCTTGCCAACTGGTTCCTTTCGGTAATTGAAGCCGACATCTGCACCAAGCTCGTTGACGACGTAGTCAAGCTTGTCGTCAGAACTCACACTGGCAATAACTTTCATGCCCTCGATCTTGGCCAGTTGAACGACAACTTCTCCAACAGAGCTTGATGCAGCGTTAACCCAGATTGTCTCACCCTTGACAGGCTTGACGAGGCCGTAGAAGGAGTTCCAAGCAGTCATGCCAGCCAGACCAAGAGTACCAACGTAATGCTTGACATCAAGGTTGTAATCGTTTGAGACTTTCCAAACAAGCGGTGATGCCATAGCTCTAGCATCAATGAGCTCTTTAGGGACAATTCCGTACTCAGCGATAGGAAGACTACCCGCGATTAAGCTGCCCTCCTCAAAAGCATCGTTGTCTGAGTGGATGACTTTGGCAATTGAGAAGTTTGTGATGGGCTCGTTGACTTCATAGCCAGGTACGTAGTCGACGTTGCCAGCTCCTCGCATGCGATCTCTCTGATGGGGATCGAGACCAGCTGTGAGGGACTTGATGACGAGACCTCCAGGTGGTGCGACTAGGCTCAAGGGTCGATCCTCGAAAGCGGTATGGACGCCTGGCTCTGGTAGGCTCGAGGGAGACTTTTTGAAGACCCATGTCCTGTTTGAGACATCGCCGCCCATGGTTGTGATTGTGAATACAAAAAGAAACGAGAGATCAACGAGAATATTGCTGTTAGTTCTTGATTGCGATAATCACTGTTGGTCTTCTCATCGTGCCTCTGTTATAGTGCTACATTGTCTCGCGGCTTGTGAATCTGGGGTGCATTGTCTTTGATACTCTCAGTGGAGGATGCACTAACTTACAGCGCCACCTCGGAGCCTTTCAGGTCCTCCGAAACCATGACCCGATATGTGTATAGCGGCCGCAAACACATAGCTTGAGATTCATTTTCTGCAATCCATACCGGAAGGATCTCACTCTTGCATTTATCCGGTCGCAATGTAAAGTAAACTGTTGGTGTCATTTCATCTGCTAAGTTACAAAATCCCGGAAGCTTATGCTTCAGTGGGTTGGCGTGCAGCTGATAGTGGAGAGTCACAAAGTCTTTCTCCGATTGGTTGTAGGTCGGTGTCTTCGGTCCTCGGCGGAAGTTCATAGTGGAGCTCCGGTCACCGTCCGTAAGAAGTCCATCTTCGGTTCTCGGACGTATCCAGCCAAAGTCCCAATGCCGCAGATCGTAATCATGCATGTAGGTGTCCGGTATGCATTACCGGCACTTGCCAATCTTGTAGTAGTGGACTCTGCCGTCGACTACCAGCCTTTTTTGTGAGCTGCGCAAGGCATCCGTTATGTTGTCGTTTGATTTGGACTCAATTCGTTTCTCATGGATGTGCGAAGGCCCGAGAGACCACTAAGCATACCGGTTGAAAAGTATATTGAACAACTGAAGAGACCTAGAGGTGAAGATGAGAGAACTCTGGAGACTCACACATTGGTAATCTTGTATCATGATAAAAGAAATGGGCAGCTAGAGCTCTAGAGTGAATGAAGTGCGAGACAGCCATTTATTTATTAGACCTTCAGACAGCCAGCTCGTAAGGAGATGCTTTAGTAAAGATGTTGATTGTCGGTGCTCCGTAGAGATAACGTCAAGATATGACGATCTTTCCCACCGAAGGCTATCTCCGATTGTGCGTAATCTCGTATCATGCCATCTAGAGTCTGGCTCGTTATTGTCAATGTTTATCTGGAAGATGATAGTATCAAATAGAATCTGACTGAGTATCTATCAATTGCGAGACATGCTGGTGACATCATGGCAATCGAACAGTTTATGATCGTAGATACGAATTGCCCCGACGACATCTAATCGCATTGAAACGTGTATATATAGCAACCCTTTCCGCCACTTTTCTACCTATCTGAGTGCAAAGTCCACCAAGACCACCACGACGCTAAGATCCATATGCCTTCTGGAAAGATTGCTCAAAATCGGCAATGATATCATCAACATGCTCAATTCCAACAGAGATACGAATCATATCCTCCGTCACACCAGAAGCGAGCCTCTCATCCTCGGACAACTGTTCATGTGTTGTAGACCAAGGGTGAATAGCAAGACTCTTAGCATCACCCACGTTGGCAAGGTTAGACACGAGCTTGAGACCATCCACGACCTTGCTTCCAGCTGAAGCATCTCCCTTGACTCCGATACTCAGCATAGCGCCAAATCCTCGTGTGAGATACTTCTTGGCCTGGGAGTATGTCGGATGAGACTCAGAACCTGGCCAGAGAACCCAGCTCACATTGGGACTGGACTCAAAGTACTTGGCCAACTTTTCTGTGTTTTGCGCATGGCGCTCAGCTCGAAGACCGAGAGTCTCGATACCGAGGAGGAGTTGCTGTGCGGAGAAAGGGCTGAGGCACGCGCCAATGTCCCGAAGCATCTCAACGCGGATTCGAGTGATGAAGGTAGCAGGACCGAAAGCCTCCCAGTACTTGAGGCCGTGATACGAGGGTGAGGGTTCAACCATCTCAGGGAAGCGGTCTGAGTGCTTGTTCCAGTTGAAGCGGCCGCTGTCAACAATCACTCCACCAATTGTAGTACCATGTCCACCAATCCACTTGGTCGCAGAATGGACAACGATGTCGGCGCCATGCTCAATAGGACGGATATAATAGCCACCTGCACCAAGAGTGTTGTCGACCTTAGTCCAGTCAGCTCTACTCAACTAGACATGAACGACCAACTTACGACGAGGGGGATACCGTGCTCATGAGCGATCTTGGCGATGCCTTCAAAGTCAGACACGACGTAATCGGGGTTGCTCATGCTCTCGACATAAATAGCACGAGTTTGGTCATCAATAGCAGCAGAATAGTCCTCAAGCTTTCCGCTTCGCACAAACTTGGTCTTGATGCCAAACCGGGGGAGCAGCACGTTAAGCTGGTTGTATGTGCCACCGTACAGATGCGAGCTGGCCACAATGTTATCACCAGCCTTGGCGAGAGTGGCGATGGTGAGGAACTGAGCAGCTTGACCAGAGGAAGTGGCAGCAGCGGCAATGCCGCCTTCTAGAGCAGCAATTCGCTTCTCGAAAACATCAACAGTAGGCTGAGGTGATATGATAAGTCAGTTCATTAAGTTAGGGATTATTCGGGTTACTCACGTTCATGAGACGACTGTAGATGTTGCCGAGCTCCTTGAGACCAAAGAGGCGCGCGCCATGAGCAGAGTCGTTGAAAGTGTAGCTCTAGGTAAGAGTCAGATGCTGGGTCTATCAGAGTTTAGGTTTGGGCAAGACTGACAGATGTCGCATAGATGGGAACGGCAGTGGACCTCGTGTGAGGATCCGGTGTGTATCTACTAGGGTTAGAGTCTGACGAGACAATATCCAGGGGAGTCATACCCAGCATGGAGCTGAAGGGTCTCAAAGTTCTGAAAGACTTGCTCTGCCATTTTGGATAACTTTTGTTGAAGGATATGAAGTACAAGAAAGGGAAAGAGAAAGTTTGCTAGTGTTGTCCTGATCGAAGGAGAATATCATTGAACAGAGGTCTTTAATATGACAAACATTTGCGATCCGGTTGGGAGGCCTTTGCTCGGCTCAAGATAAATTTCGTATTGTGTCAGATCGGCCGGGATCTTCAGTCCGGCTCCGTTACCGAACGCCGCCAAGCGGAGCAATCGGACACTTCCTTATGGATCCTCATGCACGTCAGCTCCGGTCCGGTCTACGTAAAAGCTTCCGACGACCAATCGCATCTTCGTGATGATTCCGTTTACGCTGATTTGAATCATGAATATGACAGATTCAATTCAGTGAAAGATAGCGGAATATGGCCGAGAAAAGGTTCCGTTCGGTTGCTTGTTAAGTAACGTGCAGATCAACAACCTCGGTTTGCAAACGAGGTCCGAGAAGCGCAGCATTCGATGGCACTACAACACTGCAGCACGTAGGATATGGGATTGTACAAGTAGGATAAGGCCCAAGGCACGTCTCTGGCTCGATTAGTATTCTGTTGAAGCCATACCCTGCTTAGCTGTCATTCTCAGTTCGATATCTCTATGCAAAAGATAGCAAAGCAAGCAATACTCTCTCTCACATCTCTCGTAAAGTCTTCTCCCAACGCCATGGGTTCAATCTCCCACTTGCCCGCGTACGGCCATAGGCTTCTCCCCGTGGTAATCGACGAGATCGCACGGGACGAGCCTGATCGCGTGCTTTTCTACACTCCCCGTAACGGACAACCGTCGCAAGGATATGATGAAGTCACCACCAAGATCTTTGCCAACTCTATCAACCGGCTTTGCGGGTGGCTCGACTACCAACTTGAATCGCCAACGGTATCTAAAACCATTGCCTACATTGGTCAAAGTAAGTTGGCTTTGCTATCCTACTGCAGGCAGCTGCTGATGAGCTTCAGATGACCTGAGATATTTCATCATGATGATTGCTTCCACAAAGCTGGGACATAGAGTAAGGTCCCAAGTTTCTCATTAAATATGTATTCTCTAACTGATGAGCTGCTACTCTCATCCCCACGGAACAGTGTTGAGGGACACGTGTCACTGATCAAGCAGTCTGGCTGCGAGTTCTGGATCGCTTCATCTGGCCTGGACCACCACGGATTCCTCCAAGACCTCCAGATCCCAAGCGTTGAAGCTCCAGAATTATCCCAGCTCCTAGATCCAACCCCCGTCAAACCCTGTGTCTATCGAAAGTCCTGGAACGAAGGAAAGTCAGACGTTCTTGCGCTGCTTCACACCTCCGGCTCTACCGGCCTTCCTAAACTGGTGCCAGTATATCTCGAGACCGCTGCTACTGTTGATGGCTTCCATCTCATGGAACCTACGAATGGAAAGAGGCCGACTGGTGTTGAGTGGACTGGCACGAGACAGTTGTGCGCTATGCCTCTGTTCCACGTAAGTATCGTCTTCTTGTACCTGGAGCAGGTTCTGACGTGTGTATTTAGGTTGCTGGAATCTGTCTCGGTCTGTACTCAGCCGTCTTCTTCAACTGGACCGTTGTTCTCCCATCTGTAGGGCCCATCATGCAGCATGTTATCGAAGACGCCCTTGACCATATCACACTTGACTCAGCCTTTATCTCACCCAGTGTCCTACAGGACATCTCTAAGTCTCCCCGTGTGATTGAGAAGCTGTCGAAGCTCAAATTCATCACGTCAGCTGGAGGACCTATTCCTCAGTCTGTCGGCGATTTGATTCACCCACGTGTACCCATCATGCAAACAATGGGCATGACAGAGGGCCAATGGCTTGCATCCGTGGTCACGCACCCTGCTGAGTGGGCTTACTACCATTTCCATCCAAGGACGGGCGTTGAGATGCGCCCTTACTCCGAAGAATTGTCTGAGCTGGTCTTTGTGCAGAACCCTAAGCTTACTGCCACCCAACCTGTCTTCAAGACGTTCCCTGAGCTTGATATCTGGGAGACTAAGGATTTGTACTCACGACACCCGAAACATCCTGACCTCTGGAAATATGAGATGCGACGTGACGATCTGATCATTCTATCCAACGGAGAAAAGTTTAATCCTCTTGCTGCTGAGGGAAAGCTCATCAGTCATCCATGGATTGCTGCCGCTTACCTCACTGGCCGTGGCCGGTTCCAAACAGCTGCTCTTCTGTACCCTGATGAGACCAGCCTCGACAAATCAGACGACACCATCATCGACAACGCCTGGCCAACATTTGAAGGAGTTAACAAGTCTCTTCCAGCGTTTGCTCAGATTCATCGTGACTTTGTCAAAATCGTTCGGACTCCATTTCCTCGTACTCCAAAGGGCACCCTCGCTCGCAATGAAACAGAGAAAGCATTCACTCCCGACATCAACGCTATCTACGACAAGTCCACCCATGGTAAGCCTTCTGTTCACATCAACGGAACAACCCAAGATGTAGTCCGTTCCGGCATTCGAGAGGCGATTGAAGCTGTGTCTGGATTGGTTGACCTCAAGGACGATGACAACATCTTCACCAGAGGTTTCGACTCACTTCATGTCATCCGCCTTGCAGGACTTCTGAGTTCTGCTTTCGATCAGCCTATCGAAGTTGAAGCGGGTACTATCTATGCGAACCCAACCATTTCGCAGCTTGCCCAGTCTGTGCGGTCCCATCTTGAACACGGACCCCAGGACAAGATCCACCACAGCCAAGTCACTCGGGAGATGCTTGCAAAGTACGCTCAGGCTTTCGAACCACCACGCGAGGCGAAGGAGCACATCGTTATCACAGGTACAACTGGAGAGATTGGTTCATATCTTCTTGATGTTCTCTGCAACAACGACAAGGTTGCCAAGGTTTGGTGCTTGAACCGCAGCGCCGATGCCTTCCAACGCCAAGTAGACTCAGCTAAGTCCAAGGGCCTTTCATCAACCTGGCAAAGTAAGGCCAAGTTCGTTCGCTACGACGTTGCAGCAGAGAACATCGGCTTGGGTCAGGATGATCTTCAAGAGATCAAGAATCAAGCCACCGCTATCATACGTAAGCCCAGCAATTCACATAAAAATCCAGTAGAGGCTAATCTGGACTATAGATAACGCTTGGGAGGTCAACTTCAACCTCCCTCTCTCTTCCTTCGAGCCTCAGTTCGTCGGTCTCCAGAGTCTTGTCGAAATGTGCCGAGCGGCTCGTCATAAGATCCGCTTCTTCTTTGTATCGTCCATCAGTGCTGCCATGAACTGGCCATCTGAACTCTTGGGCCCCGTACCAGAGGCAAGCATTCCCCAATTTGATGCACCGATCAACGGATATGGTTCATCTAAGCTTGTAGCTGAGCACCTGCTCAGCAAGGCTGCGCGAGCTGGTGTCTTGAGTCTTTCAGTTCTACGAGTTGGCCAAGTTGCTGGTCCGGTCAAGACTCTTGGCGAGGGTAGCATTTGGACTCGACGTGATTGGGTTCCCGCCGTGAGCTTTTACCTATCTTGTCTTGGTTAATCCCTAGCTCACAGCCCCTTTTAGATCATCGATGCTTCCGTCCATCTGCGAGCTCTACCACTAGATCTCGGATCGGCAAGCATTTTAGACTGGATCCCCATTGATCTCCTAACAGAGGTCATTGGGCAGCTCGTGGTCCCCGTGAATGCAGTTATTGGGCAAGAGAATTACTACAATCTACTGAACCCTCGAACACCCAGCTGGATAGATACTCTGCCTGGTCTTAAGGCTCATCTTGAGGCTTCATTCTCGGACAAGTTTGAGATTATTCCTCTACAAGAATGGATCGGCCGTCTGCGAGGTGCAGAGAAGGCCATCGTGAAGGAGGTCCACAAAGGATCATCCGAGACTGCGAGGAGGGCTCAAAGTGGTCTCAAGTTGCTGGCCTTTTTTGAGATGCTGGCATCTGGAAAAGAAGGTTCTCAAGGTCTTGAATGGTCCAAGGGTAACACATTGGCACAGAGTTCGATCTTGGCTTGCATGGAGCCTGTATCATCAGCCTGGTTTGACACTTGGTTGACACAATGGGGCTATTGAGTTTAGTGTTATGTCAGTCTTTCGGATGAATGACTTATTACATATAACTGTTATCTATTAAATCTCTTTGATCTTTTCTCACGTTGCGAATTGTGGATGTTACGTACTGCCTACTTGTGGATAATATGTTTATCTATCCTGAACTAACGACATCTACAATGACATAATACCATTACCAAAGCGATACGAAATTACCGTCAGACGACATCATGATCGACATGTCAGCACTTGGCCATCTTATTCGGGACCCGTCGCCGCGATCCTTCAGGCTTCTTCGCCGTGAGAGTCAGCATCGTAAGAAAATATCTCTTCTGAGGAAAGGTCTGCTTTGATTGATTAGATGTAAAAGATAAAAATAACTTTCCGACTAGTGTCGTGACTTGTGCATTAGCTTACGGAAGTCTCCCGACGTAACCGGGCTCAGGGTGAGATCGGACGTCCGACATTGCATGACCTGACCCCACATGAGCAGGTTGTCTTCGGAGGTTAATCCGGCCCCGGAAGTCAATCTGTTGAGCCGGTCTCCGTCGGAGACACTCTGTATATCATGATTGAGTTTCGGAAGATTTACGGCGATGCAACCGACTTAAACATACGATGTATTCACCAGATGTTCACCTGTTGAGTGCATTTAGATGTTGCACTCAGAAAACCTGTCATATAAACCTGGATAGTACCTATTGCAGCGGGTTGCATTTTACTTGAATATTTCACTGACCAAACACCGTGATTCATGTCTCGTACCAGTCTGCCCATCCAACCCGCCAAGATGTCTGACGCCACATCCTCCAAGCCGCAAATCTTCTCGATCCAGGACCTCAAGCAGGCCGCATCGGACAAGATGTCTCAGATGTACAGAGGTGCGCTCCAACCTGGCCCTCCGATCTCGGCATCGTCAGCTAATGCTTGCAGACTACTACAACGGCGGGGCCATGGATAACATCACGTAAGTTGCACTCAAACGCTTGTTAAGCTTTCGGTTCCTGAAACACTTACGCGGACTTAGTCTGGCGAGTAATGAGGCTGCGTTTGACCGGTACTTGCTTCGTCCTCGCGTTCTCCGTAATGTTTCAAACATTGATATGACTACTACCCTCTGGGGCACCAAGGCAGCGTTGCCTCTCGGTGTCTCTCCGTCGGCGATGCATCGTCTTGCGCATGCTGATGGAGAGGTCGGAACTTCGAAAGCCTGTGCTGCGCGCCACGTACCCATGATTCTGTCAGCTCTGTCTAACGATACCCTCGAGGATGTATCTGGACAGAGTTCGGATGGATCGACACCCTATGCTATTCAGGTTAGCCCGTTCAAGAATCGGCAGATCACCACCAACTTGCTCAACCGTGCCAAAGGTTAGTTTTCGTACTTGCAGCTCTCTAAGAACCTTATTAATGAACTTGTTCCAGCTGCCGGGTATAAAGCTGTTGTATTGACAGTGGATGCTCCCATGTTTGGCAGGAGATTGGATGATCTGCGAAATGGCTTCAGTGTCCCTCCAGGATTTAGCTTTCCTAACTTGAGCGCTCAGACCCAGTCAGGCTCTGGTGGATTGGGTGGCGGTATTCCCGACCTCTCCTTTGGTATGTGGATACTTTTGGATGCGTGATGGTGCTCACTAACATGCTCCAGATACCGGTGCGACTTGGGAAGAAAAGATTACATGGATGAAAAGCCAGACTGACCTTGAGATTTGGGTCAAGGGAGGTGGGGACACAGTCTTGGTGAATGTCAAAGACCCATACTGACCAGCACGTCTAGTTACATCTCCCCTAGACGCCCAGATTGCCATAGAGCAGGGCGTTGATGGTATCATCATCTCAAACCACGGAGGTCGACAGCTAGATACTACCCCAGCAACAATCGACATTCTCCGCGAGATCGCACCTATTGCCAAGGGCAAGACGCGCATTGCCATCGATGGTGGCTTCCGGCGTGGCTCCGATATTTTCAAGGCTGTTGCGCTCGGTGCCGACTTTGTCTTTGTCGGCAGAATCGCCATCTGGGGCCTTGCTGTAAGTTTCACAACTGTTAATTTTGATGCATCAGCTAATTAATGTTGTAGTATGATGGTTCCAATGGTGTTGGCCTGGCACTGGACTTGCTCATCAACGAATTCAAGCTGTGTATGGGACTTGCTGGATGCAGCAAGATTAGCGATATTACCCCGGCTCATCTGTCCATCCTGAACGCAAGAGGCGTGTTGGAGAGTGTGTACTAGAAGCGAGAATGCGGCTAACATGACGATTATGGTTATACAATAGAGACAGCCTTCATATACGACAATGTTCTACTTGGTACATCTGATTTGAAATATGTATTCCCGCTCCGCCTCTTTAGCAAAGACCGCGTGGTTCCAAGCAAGACCACTTCATGTTAAGTGCTGCTGTTCACAACGACGCGGAGCTGGTCCGTAATGCAGGTGCAGGGTAACATGGATCATCATGAATACACAGATTTTAACTACGAATGCATGCCACAGAAGTAAAAAGTAATACTGTCGGTCAGTGTGAAAGTGATAGCATGAATAACGAATATAAGTGTCATGACTCAAGCAAAACAGATAGCATTAACCTTGAGTGTTTGTTAAATGCGGGAATTAAAGCAATCCGTAAAGCCTCTCATTCTGGCCAATTACGGCTTCACACATATCTGGATGAATTTTAGCTTAAAGCTTAAACGAAAAGCCGTTACTTAATTCTCTTAGCCTAGCGTCAATCACCTCGAGTCTTTGTCGTAAGGCCGGGACCTCAAATTATTCAGTGATTCAATGTTCTGTCGACGTTATCGATATCGGTTCTCACAAGTCTTGCCAAGTCAGCACCTTGATAGTCACGACATTAACCTGGACCTTGGCACGGCAGATCATCCGCTAACTGACACCTTGGCAAACACATTAGTTGTCGCTATGCCAGTTCCTCCGAAATCGCGATCCTTTTTCAGTGCCGGCATTTATTCACCCGGGTACAGCGCTGCCGTCATCTTTTAGTGCTGAGTCCCCCAATGCCGCTCAAACAAAACTGGTTTACCTACATATCTAGCGTGGGATGTCGACCCTGTTGTCTTTTCGGCCGAAATGCGTCATCGGAAGGCTCGGTCCGTATAGCACAATTGGCGACTGACTACGGGAAATGGTGATATTACTCGAATTTCCAGAATCAAACTCTGTAGAGTGGGGGGCGTGCGCATATACCGGTATGAACCGGTAGAGTTTGGTTGCGTTGTATCACGCGGAATTAACTACCTTAGTTACCTGTCCCACCAAGACTAGGACTACATAGCAGGCAGAAAAGAGAGATCTGATAAAACAGGCAAGTCGTGTTACTAAACGGGTGTTGCCCTGCCTTGCTTTGAGCGTCAGGTCATGGCCCTTTTGGGAAGCTGAGTCTCTGCTGTGCCTTGGACATACGTTGCAGCTCCACGCGTGGTGATAAGCGGCAGCTCATGTATGGCCAGTAGATGCTGTAGTCAGATCCAAGACTAACGGAAGTACGGCAGGTAGAGTCAGCAAAAGGATTTCATCGACTCGGATTGTTGCCGTTGAAGGATTCCTTCTCGACGCACTCACAACGTGAATCTGATAATGCTCTACGGATATGAGGGCTTTGTTTCATCCTTGCTCGGCATGTTTTGCTTACGGGAATTGGGTGTTGTGACGTATTATGACAGATCGCATTTGTCACAGGAACATGCTCATATCCCTGTTGGGGTTGCGCTGCATGGTCCCTCTAATGCCCGCGGGTTTAGCAGACTCGAATGCTGCTGGTCTCTGCTAACCCCGTTGGTCTCACATGTTCCTGAATGCCAAGTGGAGCCAACTGGCTTAATTTCCGAGCGGATTTTCGGCGAAAATACAGCGGGAGCCAAACTCCCGGTTGACGGAATTTGGAGACTGAGGTGAAGATCACATGGAGAAGTGATGATGTGAACGTGATTGTGGTCCAGCAAAGGAGGCTATGGTATAAATATATTATGTCATGACAATCATTAGACACGATCACTGTTATTCTGAAAAGAATATTCACTCTTTATCCTGCTAAATATCTTCATATTGTTCCTCAGTAATCTGAAACAGCTCTTCCGAGATCACCGACGAATCCCACAGAATGCTGACGCCACGAGTCATCTCTCACCACCACCACAAAAGTCCTGGGCAACCAGGATTACGCTCCCACGGGATCAAAGGGCACGGCACAATGATTATTCACGATGACTCAGTAAAACCAGACAATTCACCAGTTCAATCACCAGTTCAAGCACGTCAGCCATCTGACTCTCTGGACTTGTAAGTTTTACTCTATTAGAAAATCTATAGCAATTTTTTTTGAACAAACCCCCAGAATTTCTATAAACAGGTGTCTAAAAATCTTTAATCTGGCGCATCACTACCTTTAATGCCCGGACGCATCTTATGTCGTCATGGTTCCCGTCTCTATCTTCTCCTAGCTGTATCGCGGCATTAAGCAGAGACTGACTGTGTTGACTCCCAAATAACCCCAATTCTCCATCTTTAGTGTTTTTAGTTTTAGAAGATACTCTATAATGCTCGGGCAGGCCCATGAGCTGTTCAATTTGGTGAAGCTGATGCTCGATCAGGTGAACGAGCAGATTTCCGGATAATGTTTCGTTGGGGGGAATAGGAAGACCTCCGATGTATAGAGTCAAGGGGGATGTTTGATATGAGCCAACTGACGTCTTGGAGGTGCTGAGGAGGTAGTCGAACACCTTTGAGAATATGATACCATAGATTGAAACAATTTGTATGTAGCACGAAAGTGCAATGAGCAGCTGCGTTGTGCGTAAACGCGGTGGCACCGCTGGCGTGTATGAAAATGTTGAGGGCGTATGCTCAGCAGATGCGGGGGCGCGAAGGCCAGACAAGAGCCTCTCGAGCTCAGTGCAAGCTTGTGATACTTGGACCAGAGGATGGGACTCGCAGTTTTCAAAATCTTGGCCAATACCCTGATGGGCCAAGGAAAGGTTCAGGGTACCCTTCACGTCCCATGGGGACGATCTGATGGAGTAGAGCTGAGCAGACAACTTTGAATGCAGCCTTGACAGAAGGAGTTCGACATGATCGCTTCTTATGGGTAAGGCAGAGTCCATGGAACTGGTACTCGGTAGAGTGTTGAACTGGTACGACGCTGTCGATTGGATGGTGCTGGGGTCCACTGTCTGTGCCTGTGCCTGTGCAACGCTGTGTTGGCTCGTCGATTGGGACGACGACAGGGGGGAGATGTCGACGAGGATATTGTCATTGACGATGAAATCAGAGTGTTGCATCCCAATGCTGTCCAAGATGTTGTCCAGCGACAAATCATACTCAAAGTTCATCATGTTGCTCATGTCTGTGCCGCCAGCTGAGGGTGACGAGTCTGTGGTGTGTGACGACGAGCTGGTATCACCTTGCTCAACTACAACGGTAGGCTGCACCTGTCTTGAGGGGGGACGACCTGTTGGGCGTGCTTTGCTGGTGACGCATTCAATGCCAGATTTGAGGCATCTAAGACATGCGTCTGTTGAGTGGCCTGAATCTCGGTGACATCGCAGCTTCTGTGCGCGGCAGCGATCACATGCCGAGCGCTTCCAAGGTGCTCTGTTAGAAAAGTCGCCAGCCATCTTTGGACCGAGTAAGCAGGTGGCAGTGTATGTCTAAAGTGGGAGCAGCAAAAAAGAAAGGAAAACGTTATCCTGATGATCCTGGAACAGACTGGATAGAGATGGGGCATGGAGTATGTATAATATGTCAAAAGAAGTGAGAAGAAGAAAGGAAAACTGGTGCTTCGGCTTTATTCTATATCTGATAGAATAGACTACCAGTCACCTCCGTGCAGTCAAAGGTCAGCGGCATCCCGCGTTTCTTGCAGGCGAAATCTCCCACGATGACGAAAAATCCTAGCAAATCAAACAATCCCCGTGTCCCGTGAAAGCGGAGAGAAGAGAATCCTTTAAGAAAAAAAACGGACAGGACAGGACAGGACATGCAGCCACAATTGCTAGGTTCCAAGATGGACCATAAGCTTTGAACGAGCGTGCTACGTTCTTGCAGCTGTCATGGTACGTACATGCACGCAAGTGGCACACACCCATTGGGAGCCTTAACAAGCACGCGGGGTTGCGTAGAGTCGGCACCTGTTTAGCTTTGAACAACGTGCCCTCTGCATGCGTAATCTCGAGAACGAACGTTTTGGAACAAGGGGTGAGGGGAGGGCGTGAGATGTGGCGGCGTGTTATCAAGGTTACAGAGGCGTGACTGTAAAAGGTCAAAACGGCGCCTCAGCCTTACAGTCAAGTCTTCAATTTTGACACTAAAAAGAGTAAGTGAGATGAGCTACTGTAGTCTAAAGACGGGCTTGGATGCGAGTGATGTGCTTGTTTCAGGGCCGGGCTTCCTCCGCCGATGCCGCACTCTCTCTTGCTTTTGTCTCTAGTTTAGTCTCTGCGAGAAATTATTAGCGAGAAGAATGCGGCTTCTGTAGTCAATCGACGGTGTTGACCCACTGTAAAAAGTAACCGAAATCCTTCTCAACTGGATGCCTGAGAATTCCAATGCAATGTTATTCGCAGTTCAAGTGGATATATATCACGCTTCGGTTTCCGCACTGTTTATTTTCTCGCTTCAGCCTGTCTTGGTGCTGTACCCGCTCACTTCTCATCAGCGTATTTTGGCACTTACTGAGTCCTTTTTGACAGTTTAGTACAGTCATATTTGTCATGCTGACTGCAAAAGGGCCTCCCCCACTTGTCTCAAATAAAACATCAACAGAAAAACATCTCCGTAGAGCCTCTCGCTAAATGTGTTGCTCCGTTCACAGCTGAGCAGGACTCAAAGCCGAAAGCTTATTCTGCGGACAAACCCTGCCAGTTCGCGGAGGAAACAAATATTCCGCGCATCGTGTCTCTAGCGTATAGTTATGCAGGCCCTGTTTTTGGTGGTTGCCGCTTATAATGCACATAAGCAGCAGATGGATCATGAGGATAAACCTGGTAATGGCATAACTAATGCGGAAACTCCCCTCGGTCGGGCTGCCACTGAATCCAAACTCCGCTCTCCACCGCGCATGTCAAGTCCAAGTCTGTTAATGATCCTCGCAAACGAGTCGGGTTTCCCCAGACGTTGTACGCTGCGATCTGTCGCATCCACTCGTAACCGCTGAGGTTCTTCAAAGGTTCTTCACAACGCGGCCGCCCTTAGGTGTCTCCAGCACCTGAGGCTTAATCTCCAGCCAGCAAGGATCGCCAGCAAATGACCTCACTACACAAAGTTACCTGCATCTCCCACTAAAGTCTAGACAGACTAAACTTGCGAGCCCGCGACTCGCCTAGATCCCTGCCCATCATAGCATCAGAAAAGCCATGTAACCCTGTTGGAAATACAGGGGAGGGGAAAGTCATACCGGGCGGCTGCGGCCCGTAAGTCGCTAGTCAGTAGCCCATGGCACACTAATAACTTGCCGGTCTAGCCGGAGCCCCTGAAGCTGCTGATGAGCGCCGCATTCCTAACCTTTTGAGGTGACTGCACCAAGGGTCATCCGATGCGCTACTGCAGATGAACAAAAACAGGGTAGATGCTTCTGCGCTGATGACGGGGAGAGACACCGAAAATGAGTTTCTTTTGAATAATTATTACATGTTAGGTGTTTTTCCACCTATCTATTCATTATGACTTTAAACGTGTGTATGCTGGGTAGAATTAGTGCTATAACAGAAAATGAGATATTAGATACAGCATGCCATTTCAGCTTGTTTTATCAAGGCAATTAACAAACATCGCCTGCCGATATTATGGCGGAATGGCTGCTTTAACTGTTTGTGGTCTCTTAGTTACGGGCTTCTAACAGCTAACTCGGTTATTATCTGAAGAATTTATATCCTATAGACATAATTAAAGACAAGGGTTAACAACAGTTACTATTGCATTTCAATGCTAATATTATTAAACAATGCCTGTATTAATATAACTTAGTTTTTAATATAATAGCTATAATATAAATAAGAGGTTTTATATACAGTATAATTTCTATTTAATTACTTATATTTATAATTTAACTTAAATAAAGACTTAAATAGTAAGACTATTTAGACATCTTGACCTTGATCTCTACTACTTCTATAGCTTATGTGAATATTAAAGTCTAAGTTCAAGCATGGAAAACACGTCTTGCCTTGAATTTCTCTGCCCTTTACGCCGAACTCGACCTATCTAGGCATTAAGACATTAAAACTCTTAAGACACTTCAAGAAAGCAAAGCCGAAAGACTCACATTTGCAACCGAGTATGCAGTAATGCCGTATCATGCTGGCTTCTCGATGGCAACTGATTCAAATTACTTGAGCTTACAGTAATGAAGACGGCAATATGAAGACGGGCATTTAATAATAACAGTTCTCGACCAGTATAGACATACCATGGTTTCTATAATCAAGCCAGGTGAAGTTGTTGTATGCTCAATTCACGAGACGTGATAGGCGCCTTCGATCGACTATAAATGTCAAACTAATGCATGGAAGTTATGCATTTCAGATATATCGTGTATCCCAACTTGCATTGGGCTTGACTCATGCTCAAACTCTAACATTGTGACTCTTGTCTCTGCAGAAGAGGAAACCCGTTGGTCCGTGAAGAGCCTCAATCAGAACTCAATCTGTACGGGAGTCTGTGCGCTAGCGGTAAACTGGTACGTGGCTTCGTGGGTACGGTACGACCGCATCAAGATGCAAATGCCGGCATAGAGCGTTTCTAATTGAGGCTTCTTCTCCGTTGAGGCTTCACACTCACCGCTAGGGGCCTGCCGCGGGAAGTCCTTGATTCCTTATTGGTTCTGGTTAGTATGCCTGTCCCAGTCGTTTTGACTACCGGGGAGTAGATCAGCCGACCGAGATCTCCAAGCCTCGGCAGTCCATGGAGATGTAAAGTAATTACGACGCGGGATCGTCGGGATGAATGTAACTGACCTAGTCCTCGTTACTTCGGGCTACATAGTTGCCGAAGTCCTGAACCTTGTCGGCCCGACTCACCCATCGACACAGCACACCCAACAGATCTGATAAACAAGCAAACCAGAAGAACAGGATTCAAGTTCGAGACCTTCTTGGCACAAAGCTTCTCAGGGACCATATGTGGAACTTGTGCTAAGCGAGCTGGGCAAGCAGATCATTTACAGGCATTTGCTTGTTAAGTTTCAGCAGCAATCCACATGGCCCAGTTATTCAAAAGACCTTCAGTATCCGCTGTTGACAGTCTTGTCCGGAGATCTTTCCTAAATAGTAGTTGCAGTAGACTTATGCCGCGACTAAGGATTCTTTGTTGGACCCTGCAGATGGCAGGAATAGCAGTTGAAGTTACGTAGAGACCTAAACCACTTAAGCAGAAGGTTAGACTCAAAGCGACAAAGATGCATTAAAGGCAACAAAGGCTATACCTAGAAACACCTATAAACCTACTAGCCTTGGACAGACTAACTTGGCGATTGCTGGGATGGTCTTAACGCATAGTGCGTTGCTTATTGATCCTTTGCGCACAGAGGTTCATCCCAGAATCCGGGGAAGCAGCTCTCCAGATTTTCATCACTGCGTTTACTATTATTGTACCGGTGCACACCGGAGCGCTACAAATGGGGGCAAGGCCAGCCCAGTCTGGCTGATCAGAACTGGAAGGTCGTGATACTATCATTAGCACAAAAGAACAGCGCTAATCATGCACGCTTCGTCACCTGTTCTTCGATTTAGAGTTTCGGAACATATTAAAGGCACTCTGGGTGATTATTCATGTAAACACCACGTAGCCTCTTCTGCTGTTTTTCATGACTCGCGATCATTCTCCTGTACATCTAATCGATTACTGAAAGGGGTAACTCTCCACTAAACCGCCATTGTGGGCTCACGATGTGAGCGCTCAGACGGCGATATGGCTACTTCCAGCCGAAAGCTTGGCTTCGCGTTTTCAATCGGCGGGGTAAAGCGCGAGCCTGGTCTCTGGAAGACCTGAACATCGTCACATCTCAATTTGATAAGTGAGCCAAGGCTAATGGGGCTAGAACTAGAACGATTATGAATCAAGGATATGCGATAGGTTCAGGAACGAACTGAAGAGCATGAGACACATGATGGCGATGGCAGTTCCGTTATCTCAACTTTGTGAACTCCAACTTCACTTTTGCATCTCCAAGTTTTGTTATCAGCACAGAGTTAATGTGACTCGTCGGACAACGAGTGAGGTGATGATGCTAACGGCTTGGAATCCCTTAAATGGGTTGAACTTGCATTGCCACTTTTCATCTAGAAGGCTGCGGGAAAGGGAGTTGCCGTGGCGTATGTCAACGAGACCATAGGTTGATTCCCTTGACGGGTGCAGCAAAGAATCGAGGATGGAGGAATGATGTTCAAAGTTTGAGGGTAGCTAAGTGAAATACTCACCATAACATGGCAAAGCAAGCGGACTAGAGGCGCGATGCCGATTCACCCATCTCTTATAGTTTGTCTGCGAAGGCACTAGTTCATGAACATATCATTCACCGCTCATATAAACTTGGGGCTTTGTGGTAGATGGGAAAGGACAAATGAATATAATTATTACTACGAATATAACGGTCTCTATCAGTTGTATTTCTATCGGGTCT